ACTATATAATTTTCTCTCATGGTATTATGATTTCAATTATAAGGAAAATAATAAAAAAAGTCAATGTCTGACCTAGTCTGAGGTCTCTACTTATATATACTATGAACAGCTTTCAATCAGTCAGACAGCCATGATATATACAGTATTATGAACAATGCTTCATTTTAACTACTAGTGATTTATCATGACAGGACATAAAAGTCTAGCAATACTAGTACAATGTACAAGTCCAATAGTAAGGCCAAAGGGGGGTGTTGGCCATAGAATTTTCACGGTTTTCAGAAAGTCTGTAACCAGGAAAGACCTACATATCAAACATGTAACATCAACTTTTCCTATAGTGATAAAAAAGAATAAAACCTATAATAGCAATATCTATAATCCTCCTAGAGCTGGCAGACCAACAAAAATAACTAATGCCAAAAAAATATTAATACTAGATATTATTGATTCTGAGCCTTATTTAGTACTAAGGGATATTACCCAAAAGGCTATTATTGGTCTTAGAAAAGATACTATCAATAAGGTCTCTAATAAAGCTGGTTTTAAGCTTAAAATAGTAAGAAATAAGCCTTTTTAGAGATAAGATATGAAGGAGAAGAGAAAAGTGTTTGCTAGGCAGAGGAGGAATTGGATAAGAGCTTAAAAGTGGGTAGTTTTTATTGATAAGGCCACAATTGAGTATGATCCAAATCCAGTATAAAGAACAGTTAGACTTAAAGTAAATAAGGAGCTGGAGAAAAAAGTTTAAAGCTAAGCTTTAAGTCAGGAAAAACTAATATTGGTATCTATACTACAATCATGCATGTAAGACAGACTAAGTTAATTCTTGTCAGAAGGAGGAGTAAGGAGAAAAGAACCAGTAAATCAGACAGGCTTGGTCTAAATATATATTAATATGCTACTAAAATTCATCAATCATACCTTATCCCTGTCATAGAAAGAATAAATAGATTCTGAGAAACTATCCATATGGCTACTAATAATGCATCATGGCATAATAAGTTGAAAAACAAAAAATCACAGAAGGATTGTAGACATTAAAGACTATCTTGGCCTCCTAGCTCTCCAGATCTGAATCCTATTGAGAATATAGTTTCTGCTCAAAAAGGCTCTCAAGAAGCAATTCTCTAGGTTAGAAAGAAGGCCTTATCTGTCACATACTATGACTAAGCAAGGCAGATTTTACATAGCTCAGAATTCCAAGCTATAGGTATGTTGGCATTTCACATGACCCACAATAGTGCACCATAGGTTATTATGTTTACCTGTTCATGACTCACTGTTGTGAGTCACACAATATTATAATTTTCGTACCTGATTCAATTTATGAGTCATGAGTTTCGCTCAGGTGACACGAGTTGTGCACCTGACTTGGTTATTATGTTTTGATTGGTTTCAGGTATGCTATGCAGGGACTCATAGGAGTCAGCTGAGGGATTTTGCATGACTTATAGTTATGAGTCACAGGATTCACATGGCAAAAGGTATGAGCCATGCCAGGTGAAGAACAACTATATAAAGGGTCACTAGAACCCCTAAGTATGAGCTCTTTACACGTTCTTCTCGTTTATTTCCTACCTTTAAGTTTTACCAATAAAAACCCACCTTTACACTCTTCAAGATATATCTTAAGAAACTCAAGAATTGTCTTTCCTCCCACGACAAGAAATAATAAGTCCTAATCGAGGACTTCAGAAGATTAAGAGATAGCCACAATGAGATAAAAGTCAAAGGACTTAGCTATCTACGTTACGTAGGCAAAGGCCTGAGAACTATCCCCTTACCTAAGTAAGGATCGTTACCTGTCACACCCCAGTCACCAGTAGGATCCTTAACATTATCATGCTGCTGAATTGTTTCAAGCAGCTAAGAAGGAGTAGGAGCATATTTTCTAAGAGACAATTGATAGGTTGATTAAAAGAATGCCTGAGAGAGTTCAGGCTGTATTGGATGCAGATAGGAGCCATACAAAATGGTAAAATATTTTAAATTTTCTATTACATTTCTTTTACTATCTATTTCATAATTGAGTTGTTGTTATTTTTAAATAAAATTTCAAGTTCCTATTTTGTTAGGGTGGTGGAGTTGCACCAAGGGGTACAGAAACTTATTAGACATGAGTGTAAAGTACCTAAGCAAAAGTCTTGGTGAAAAAGGCAGGTAAGCAAGGGTGATGCAACCCAACCACAATGGTGACCGATCAAATTCTCCCTACCACATCAACCATGGCACCTAAGACATCACGCAAAGAGCTCACTGGAGTTGAGAAAAGTATGATCCTTACTTTCTTCAAGGTTTTTCAGCAAATTTCAATAGTTAGCCAGATTGTTGACTGCTCATGGTCAACAGTCTAGAATTTCCTTGCCTGGTCTGTCCAGCGGGGTTCAATTGAAAACCTCTCACATTCTGGTCGACCACCCCTACTTTCCCAGAGAGCCAAGAGATCATTAGTTCGAGGGGCCAAGCTCCACAGGGATTGGAGTAGGGAGAAATTGCGGCAGATATTGGCTCCTAATATCTCAGTTTCTACAATGGACCAGGCTCTCAGGAAGAGTGGCATTAAGAAGTAGCTAGCCAAGAAAAGAGCAAAGCTTTCACCAGAGCATACTCAGAAGAGGCTGGCCTGGGCTAAGGCACACCAGAATTGGACTGCAGAGGAGTTTGAAGGTGTTATTTGGAGTAATGAATACTCAGTAGAAAAGAGCAGGAATCCAAAGCAAAAATAGGTATTCAGATCTGCTTCTGAGAAGTAGCATCCAGACTGTGTGAGAGGGATAGGAAAGGGAAAGGAGGTTTCTTTGATGGTCTGGGGATGCTTCTGGGGCAGAAACAGGGGAACCTTTGTTCCCTTAGTTGTGAAATCAGTAGACCAGTGGGTCTACCTCCAGCTGCTTGAAACCTGCCTTATTCCAGTCCTGGAACGAGTCCGTAATACCCTTGGTGATCCTATCTTCTAGCAAGACAACTGTACTGTTCATACAGCTCAGACAGTGCAAGATTGGTTTGACCAAAATGTGATTGAGTTGGCTGAACACCCTCCTTGTTCACCAGACCTTAATCCCATAGAACATGTCTGGGTTGAGCTGAAGAAAAGGCTTCAGATTCAGTATCCTGACATTGCTTCAACACCTGGTAGTTCTGAGAAGGTCCAGCAGAAGCTAGCTGAGGTATTACCCATGGTATGGGATACAATACCTTCTGAGTTTTTTGAGCAGTTGTGGAGGTCAATACCAGACAGAGTTCAAGCAGTTATTGCAGCAAAGAGGTGGTATCCAAGATACTAGGAATAACTTTTTTTATTTTTTATTTTATCAATATGTAAATAATGGTCTTACATTTTATTTCCTTTAATCTCTTCTCATTTAAAAGATTTGTTATTGAGTTATTTCAAAATCTCTACTCATATCGGACCATTGTTGCCATGGCCAAGATGCACAATCACCAAGACTTTTGCGTAGGTACTTTACATGTTTCATCCTCATACAAACACTTTTTTCAAATTATCTTTTTTTATATCTTTTATTTCAAAAAAAAATGCATGAGAGAACTGATATCCTTATTTCAGATACTCTCACGCTTCTTTTACTCTGGTACTTGTTGTTTTGGAGGAGTTATTTCATTGCCGGTTTGTATGTAGTTGCTTGGACCAGGTTTCAAGAAGTTGAACCATATCATGCCCTCTGAAGGCCTGTCGGTAACCTCCCGATACTCGTATTTGAGTGAGTATGATTCCGTAGAAACTCCTGGCATCCACTACCGGACCTCCGTAGCAGAGGCTGCCCCCCGTTTCCCTCGCGACAAGTTTAGTTTGACAGGTTAACTGAATTGCGAATACTAGTTAATGAGACCCAATAAACCCTGGACGCTCAGGCTTTACAGCTTGGGGAAAACACTAACCTTCCTCAGACGCCATTGATTCAGAATCCGGAGACTACAGGGCGGGCGGAGACAGTGGATTCCACAGAGTTTTCACTCTACCCTTATGCAATTCTTCTACCGTATGAATCTGATCCAAGACCTTGGCGTCTAAGACCAACCACCAGCTCTGAGGCTCCTCAATACGATGGCACGCGCTCGAGTGCCGATAAGGTTCTCGCGGGGGCTGCAAATCCCTGGTTTACGGTCCCAAGCCTCACTCAGTCTGCTCCAGTCAATGTCTCACCCATACACACACCCAATCCTACCATGGACGCCCATAGGTCTGAGAGCTCCTGCACCTGAAAGGCGCGACACAAGTGGTACAAGGGCAGTCTAAGCAAGGCTGGCCGTTATCCAGCTGATAACTGGTAGTCTATTCACTGAGATTGAGACGCCTCACGGCGGGGCAAGGGCTGCCTTGAACATGTAATCACCAGGAATCATTGTTCTGAAATTATCGACTATCTGTCATTAGGGAACTTGTCCAGTAGACTACGGTAGCAGAGCCTGCTCGCTTGTTTGCTCGCCCCATTTTTATAGGGACGATCTATAAAATCTTGTACCGCTATTGGCGTCCAATCGACCGAGTGTAGATCCTGAATTTTGATTTATGTTTGCTTAGCTGATGGTGAGGCCAACCGGCCCCCGCCCGAGCGAGAAACAATCCAATGCGCATCGCTCATAAAAGCATATGATTATGAGCGCACTGCTCCAATTTAGACTCAATACAAGAGGTGGTAATAGCTGTGGGCGGCGATGGCGGAGGGGGCGGCGGTGGTGGTGGTGGTGTTGCTAAGATACTAACGGGGCAGCCCACAGCTTTTGCGGCAGTAGGCGCACCGGGATCACACTGGTATGATATGCCTTCCACGAACGGGTAATTTGCTGATTTAGGTCAGCCGTTTTGGCCAGTCCCGATGATCCTTGTTCCACCTCAACCTTCACACTCAAGCGACCCCTCCCCCTCACCTCCCTCTCCCCCCCTCCCTCCTACCATACACACTCTTGTCGCGACTACAGCTCGCACTTGATAGTTACAGCTTTTCTTTTCCTCGCCGGCCCACCTGCCGTACTTTTCGATGGTTGCCGAATCCTCCGTTTCCCTAACCTTTTCGAATAGAGAACTCCCTCTCCCGCACGCTCCTCTGCTTGTTGTCGATAGCGCAGGAAGTTCCACTACCCCACCTCCACCTCCTCCCCCACGGCAACCCGTTGTCAGACATCTCTCGGCGCCTGCGGAATCACTCCATTCCCCCCTGAGGCACCACCGACGCGCAGCTTCCGTCGGGAGACCACCTGTCCGAGAAACCCTAAATGCGAGTCTATCGTACGAGGATGAGGATGGAATTAGAGTAAATCAGTACAACCCCCTCCCCCTAGCGTTATCGTACTCTTCCTCCCATTCTAACATCCGCCAAGGTATCTCATCAAACAAGAAATTGGAAGAGGTTCTTACGGTGCGGTTCACTTGGCAGTGGATCAAACCGGTCATAAATTTGTACAGCTATCAAAACACCATCGGCTTGCTCCCTAAGCTAACTATACTTTCTCCCCAGGCGGTTAAAGAGTTTTCCAAGTCGCGGCTTCGGAAAAGATCGCAGTCTCAAATTCTAAGGAGACCCCACCATGCCCGCAGGAGAGGTGGAATTTTGAGCATGCCCCCTGCCTACGGGCGATCTGCTTCCGAGATACACAGACAGGAGGAGGCTGGTAACCCCCTCTACCTCATCCGGGAGGAGATTGCAATTCTCAAAAAGCTTGATCATGAAAATGTGGTGCACTTGGTTGAGGTATTGGATGATCCGGAAGGTGACTCTCTCTACATGGTGTTGGAGATGTGTGAGAAGGGAGTGGTGATGAAGGTTGGGCTGGACGACACCGCCGAACCCTATCCAGAAGAGAAGTGCAGACTGTGGTTCCGGGATATGATACTTGGTATCGAATACTGTATGCTTCTGGCCCTGCTGTGTTTTAAAACTATTGACTTACTCGACCATAGTGCATTCTCAAGGGGTTGTCCACCGTGATATTAAGCCCGACAACTTGCTTCTCTCGAAAGACGATGTCCTCAAGATTGTCGATTTTGGAGTGAGCGAGATGTTTGAGAAAAAATCGCAGATGCTGACGGCAAAGTCGGCTGGGAGTCCCGCATTCCTACCCCCAGAGTTGTGTGTCTCCGGTCACGGAGATGTGAGCGGAGCTGCTACTGACATATGGGCGATGGGAGTGACTTTGTACTGCCTATTGTTCGGCAAACTCCCGTTCTGTCATTCTGGTGTCGTCCAGCTTTATGAAGCGATCAAAAACGACGAGTGAGACCCGCTGGACCTCAGCCTTTGAGCCGCGCTAATTCTGTGGAAAACCAGACTCTTCATTCCCGAGGGCCTCAATCCCGACACTACGGATCTCCTAAGAAGACTTCTTGAGAAAGACCCCGATAAACGTATCAAAATGCCGGAATTGCGGGTAAGAATCCCATCACAGTTGTGTTTTAATATTCCATTTCTAATACTCGTCTCCCAAGGAGCATCCTTGGGTCACCCGCAGAGGAGAAGATATGCTATTGCCCAAGGAGGAAAACACCTCTGAAGTAATTCCTTCGCCAACCCCTGAAGACGTAGCGTCCGCCATCACCAGAAGTATCCGTAATGTTATGGCAGTGGTGTGTTAACACGGCGTGCGTTTTTTATCTAGCCTCAGCTTGTTAACCTGCGAAATAGGTCAAAGCTGTTCAGAAACTGAAGCGTTTGACTCTCAAACGCTTCCGACACCCATACCTATCTGCCAAAGATGGGCCACTGTCAATTGAAAATCTTCCGGCCCGCTCGAAGACCTATGAATGGGATAGTCGGGAACATTTAGAACAGAAGCTCGCTGTGTCAGGCGTCACGAAAGATCTGTCCGTAGTCAGCATTAGCCAAACTCCGCAAAAACCCATCAGTTCGGCTGCCGGAAACCAGGATACTGAAATGGCGGACAATATTCAACGCATTGATGTTGAGTGCCACCACTTTGGAATCTCAGAAACGGTAGATTCGCCCATGGAGGAAAGTCCACCATTATTGAATGAAGTGCCAAAGGGCCAGGCATTATCCCCATTGGATGAGGAACCACACTTTCTTCAGATTGGCGTAGGAAGCGACCAACCTGCAGAGGAGGCGTCGAGGGTAATCAGTGAATCTCCTCCGCCAACTGAGGAGAATGTCTACGCAGAGGCATATCGAGGGGATGTGGCACGCATCATGGAGGAGCGAGGGCAATCGGCAACAATTTACCGCACCAAATGGGTAGAGTAATATGTTACACTTAAGAATTGAACAGCGGAGGCAGTTCCGCCGCCTCCCTTTTTTTTCTTCTTTTTCTTTCCCTACAAGCCCACTTTGCTGTGAAATCAAGCTCAACAGACCCTGGATATGCGGGGTTAGAGAAAATGATAAATGGTCCGGGTATTGTGTGGTCCACGGATTTCTGGCTGGGATCCCTGTGATGATGATCGGATTCTTTTTAAAAAAAAATTATCCCACTTTTCCCTTTTTTTCTTCTTCTCTCCTTCTATCTGTAGGGCTCACGTAGGGATGCCGTGCTTTGCGGCATGATACTGTGGGGGGGCACTGTTGTGGTACACAAGTCTAGTGTCTCGGGGAGTATGGTATCGATAAGTGGATCCATACAAGCATTATCATTTTCCCAACTGACCGAAGGGGCAAGAGTTTCAATGTTTCTCACACAGTAGCGGGATGTACTGTACTCGTGCTGGCACAGTGTGCACCGATCCAATGCTATGATCCCGTAAGGTCAGGACCTGATAAGCTGATAGTACAGTAGCCCCATCCGTATGTACCGTGCCGGTATGTATGTCATACCTGTCTTGGCCCTTCCATGTTTGTGCTGTACTCTACAAGACGGGAACAGTACTTGTACTTTGGACCAAGGCAACTCCTCAGTGGAAAGCCAGCGCAAGCAGGAAGCAAGGCAAGGTGCTCCACACGAGAGCTACTATATGTAAGTAGGTGCTGTGGGCTACTCTAACCAAGTATATAAAAGGTTTACTCGTATAATAATCTTAGAATATCAGAATACAAGCACAGTACTTGTACCGTACCGTGCACCAACACCCACAGGCTAAAGAACTATTGGGGATGTTGATTGGAACGCCCAAATGGACCATCCTCCATTCCCCGCCATACCTTACCAAACCTAACCAAACCTTACCAAACCGAACCCACCACCCGATATCATACAAATCCCAACCGATTTGGCGGGGCGAACAATTCGCGAGGGAGATAGTCCAGAGCGAAAGACAGAGGTAACCGGTGCCCCAGCAGGGCACCGTAATACCCTATCACGGTAGCCCATCCGCGGCCCCATGATACAGTGCGCGAGCATGGTGTGTTTTGAAATCACTCTCTTTCCCTCCCTCCCTCCCTCCCTCCCCCCATATAGCTAGGAAGAGGGTGCAATGATGCACCATCCATGAGCGATTTTTTTCCGAGCGACAAAAGACGAAGAAGGAGGAGAGGAGAGCTAGCTGAGAGTGATGGATAATATACAGTACATTGGGATCTCTCCTATTCCAAGCTGGTATATGCGGAGTAAAAGCACTCGCTGGTAGGGGGCTACACGCCGCTATAGATATTGTGTTTCAAATTTGCTTTTGTGTTGGGTTGGGACTTTGTTGTTGATAGCGTGGGTGATGGGTTGGGTGAGTGTGTGTGTATGGTGCGAAAGGGCCAGGAGCGTGGTCCACCAGCATCACCGTAGCATCATTAATCTACGAACAGACTGACTTATGGCTTAACGGTACGAGTACTGCTGTACTTGTACCAGCCTGGAACAAAAAGTGATCGGAAAAAAAGTGGTTGGCACAACACCACTTTTTTCCGATCACTTACCCTTACATCCTGGTACTCGTACTTGCACGGTACCGTACGTCCTTCGGACGCGAGACGAGTATTGTACCATAGCTGGAGAAGGCTTCCGATGGATCTAAAAGTTCTAGAATCACGTGCTCTCTCCTCTTTCCCTTTTGTTTCTTCTCGATTTCCCCCTGCCCTTCACCCCAGGTGACGCTCCAGCCAAATAAATCCAGTACCGGTACTCGAGTACTGTGGTCAGAGGAAGGGGCAGGCTGAATGGTCGCACTCGTACAACACTGTACCGGGCCACAGTCATTGCTGACAGACACGAGTTTTCGGCCTATAAACCTCTGACAAGTTAAATGCCAATTGGATCAGCTGTATATTGAACAAAAAATTCCCCTCGTGGTGTGGCAAGTGCTCGAGTAACCATGATTGCAGCATGATACAGTACAGTATCTGACGGGTCGGAGGAAGAGGAAAGAGAGACAAGAGGAACCACTTTGCGTAGGGCACTATACCGGTAAAGAGGGAATCACAGCACAGCATACCGGTGCCGCAGTTTGCAAGTGCAACGCATGGTTAAGGGGTGCCGGTGGCGCCTTCACCGTAACCGTGCCAAGGTCCCCACCCTTCGAAGGACGCTAAGCGACCTCCAAAGTAGGTGGCACTCCAAGGGAGTGCCTAACAGTTCAATGATAGTAACAGTTCAACGATAGAATAATCACCAGACTGTCCCTCTTCGTGAAACTTGCAATTTGATCAATCCCAAGCCTACCATGTCTAATGAAAAATACTTTACTGAAGAGGCCCGAATCCAGCATGCCATCGACAAAGTTTTCAACGAAGAAAAACTGAATATCGCTGCACTCGCTCGCGAGTATGATGTTCCAGAGCAGCGATTGCGTGAACGCTGGAAAGGATGCCAGTCACGGCAGCAAAGAGAGTCACCAAACCGGAAGCTCACCCCAGATCAAGAACTTGGTCTCTGTCAATACCTGAATAGACTGGATGAGATTGGAATCCCCGCCCGCCGTTCTCGCCACATCGCTTCCTATGCAAACTCAGTATTGGCATCGACACATAGTGATTCATCTAAACCACCCCCAGTTGTGAGCAGTATGTGGACTCGTCGCTTCCTCACACGTCACCCAGAATACGTGGTACGGAAGCGAAAGTCACTCGATATTGATCGGAAATGGTCTCATGACTGTGATAGTCTAAAGGACTGGTTTCAGTGGTTCCAAAAAATTAAGGAAGAGAAGGGTGTGCAGGATACAGATACCTACAACTTCGATGAGACAGGATTCCGGATTGGAATCGGCCGTGACCAATGGGTGGTCACTCAGGAGTCTCAACGGCCATTATTTTTGGCAAGCTCTAGTAATAGAGAGTTAGTAACTGTTGTTGAGTATGTGAGTGGAGATGGTGCGGTACTTCCTCCTATGCTTATCGTTCCGGGTGCGATGCATATGGAGGATTGGTACACAAAGACTGATATGCCAGATGACTTTTTTGTTGGTATTTCTGAGACTGGATATACCAATGACAGATTAGCATTTGATTGGATTCAGCATTTTGAAAGATTTTCTGCACACCGACAAGTAGGAGCATGGCGGATGCTTTTGCTCAATGGTCACGATTCGCACTCTACACGGCAGTTCATTACCTTTTGCGATGAGCATAAGATTATTCTCTTTTGTCTACCATCTCATTGCACGCATCTCCTACAGCCACTCAATGTCGTCGTCTTCCAACCCTATAAACATTATCATGCGGAAGCACTTGATGCTGCTACCAGAACTGGGTGTTCAGAATTCAACAAAGTTGAATTTTTTTCAGCCCTCGAGTCTATCCGTACCCAAACCTTTAAGCCTTCAACAATTCTTTCTTCCTTTAAAAAGACAGGACTTGCCCCATTCAATCCCAGTATTGTTTTAGACAAGCTCCCGGAGAGTCAAGAGGGAGATACACAACAAATTCGAACACCATCTCCGAGTCCTGGGCCTGCAGATATGCTATCAACACCGAGAACGATACACTCCCTCAAGCGTCATGCCGACACCCTACAAACTCACGTGCAAGGCCTTTCTCCCTCGTCCCGAATTAGTATTCAGAAATATCTAAAGGGAAGCTTAGCCCAAGCATATAGCGGAGGTCTTGTACTTGAAGACCTACAGAATACGAAAGCAGTGGAGCTTGCCCAGACCGCACGCCAAAGACGAAGCCGCCGTTCACTCCAGAAGGGGGGAGTCCTCTACGCTCATGAGGCACGGGCAATGGTTCTTCAGAAAGAACAGGATGGGGTTGAAAAGGAGCTTGAAAAAGCTCAACGTATGCTTGTTAATATCCAGAAAATGGTGGACAACAAGGTTAAGCGGGAGTGGCGGGAAGTTTCAAAGGATATGAGAAAGGCTGTGAAGGAGAAAAATAAAAGGCAAAAGCTTCAAAAGCTATTACGTCGTGAAATTGGACATTCTGTTATTCACTTTTCTCGCTGCATGTAAAAAATATCGTTGAACTGTTACTATCGTTGAACTGTTAGGCACTCCCTCGGAGTGCCACCTACTTTGGAGGTCGCTTACCGTCCTTCGAAGGGTGGGGACCTTGGCACGGTTACTGTACGGCAAGCAGCCCTCAGGAGATAGGCATCGCACTGTCCGACCACTTCCGGCCCTGGCATCCCCCCCGTGGGTCCTGGCAGGAGAAGCTCCTGTGTCACCACCGGTATGATACCCCGGAGGTTTAACCAAACCCAAAGAGAGAACGTACAGTACAGTACAGTACGGTACCGGTAGACGACGTTTTCAGGGGAAAGAGAGGAATCACAGCATGGAGATGGATGACCTGGTTCTTCAATTAATCTCTCCACCTTGCATATTTGTGTCCAAAGATGATATAATACTTATAAGGAAACGGGAGCACTTTAGATAATTTATATCAAAGGAGAAGGCCACACTCAGCGTTCTCCTCTGTATTGATGATCTTCATCTCTTGTTCCCCCTGTCTCCCGTCCGAAAAAATAAACCCCTTCCACAAGTAGATACAAGGATTGCCTGAAGGATCTCATAGAATTCATACCAAACAAACCATATGATATGATTTCAAATGTCAACGTACCACCCCATGAGTCCATCCCACATGTCCAATAGTACCGTACCCAAGTCATCTTGGATTGCCAACCTCCGATGATAGTCATTCACACTTTGTTGGAACCGCTACGGGTTGGAAGGGTGAGAGACAGCACGGCACTCGTACCGGCTATGACTCCAGCTCCTCAAAGACCGGTGGTGGAAGGCAAGAGGGTCCCATCGGTATTCTGAACCACTTGGGCCCTCCATCTTCTCTGCCCTGGAGAAGTACTATCATCTACGGTAATGGGTGTCATATCAAAATTTAACCGTGCTACCTGTGCCATCATCACCACCACCACCACCACCACCAGCATCAGCATCAGCATCAGCATCATCACCATGCTAGAGCTACTCTACTTAAGACGAACCACCGATATCATATCCCCCCCCACTGCTTCAGACCGTTTGAACGCAATATAATCCCATCCCCCCCCTTCGTCCCTACCCCAAAGTTTGCTACCCCTCCTCCTCTCCCTCCCTATAAATTTAGCTGTTTGATACACTCTAAACACCGGTGGCAAAGGTGGCTCGTGTTGATGGTTAGAGATCCTCCATTATACCCTCTCTCACACACACCCGCCCCCCGGACCTCGTTATCATTATTTTCTAAGCCTTTCTCCTTACTCGTTATCCTTCCAATACTATTCCAGATTACTCACCTCTCTCATACCACCGCCCTTCGCTTCTACTCCTCTCCCCTGGGCTTCTCCTTTCTCACTGCCATTTTTCCAAGGCCATCGTCTCCGTTAATCATTCTCCATCTGTGTTTATCTTACTATCAGCCTATCTCCGCTGGTCCAGTAATTGCTACCAAAAAAAAAAAAGCAAGCATCCCTGTTTGGCCTTCCGTCATTGCCATCGAACACGGCGAGTCGATTCTACTCCTTACGGGGGGCCTCCAAGCCTGCAACCATTAAGTTTGCAGCCGCCTGAAAAGCAAAAGGCGGACAAGGATTGGGCGCGAGGATGATTATTGTGAAGAATACTGGTTGTCCCTGATACCTCAACCTCGGAAATCCGATATTGGAGTGAAGAGAGATATAGGGAAAGAACCCCCGAAAGAAGGAAAAGAAAAAGGAAAAAAAGAAAAAAAATAGTCCCGCACGCGATCATCAAGCTGCCGCCGCTCCATCGCTTTTTCCTCCCCGTCGCTTCTCCTTCTCCTGTTTTTTTCGTGGCAGTCGCATCCTACTTCTCACACTCTTCTCGCTTCAACCAATCTTCTCTCGTCGTCCCACTCCCCCTCATCTCACCGCCCCCCCTCCCCCCCCTTCCACTCCGACAACGACATCCATATCCTTTTTAAAGCCCGAGTTATCAGCAGCCCCTCCTTCTCTCGAATTTTCCCTTCCGCTAATTTTTTATTCCTCCCTCGTATTTCAAATCGTCTCTTAATTGCTACCTCTCACTTTTGGTTTTACCACATTACCAATCGGTGTTGTCCCTTCTCCTTCACTTCTCCCCCTCCCCTTTGTCTGCGCTACTCGTTGTCGGCCTCACCGCTTCGCACTACTACAGCGACCCCTTTCCGCCATTGTGACTGTCACCGCACCGCATCACCATCTTTATACCAACCTAATCTCGGCACGTACACTTAATACCCGCTTCGAAGATTCCCCCGGTTGTGTGCGGGAAACCCCTTCAATCGCCACCATTCACTTTCCCACGCTTTTACCTCACCTCCTATTACTGCATCAATAACAATGATTGAGCCCCCACTGCAGAAGAATAATGCCTCCTCGAGCCTGAACGAAGGCCAATCCTCTCCCACCATGTTGACTCCTGCAGTTTCATCCTCAACTCCATCAGCCACCGCATCCCCGGTTCTCCTTCCTGTTCCTGGGCAATCCACCTCGCTTTCCTCCCTGCCCGGGTCAGCAATGGGTTCTGGCACCGCCACCCCTTCAAATGCCCCGGAAAAGAAGACCATATCATCACGGCTACAGCGAATATTCTCCCAATCCAGCAGTAAGGCGAAGGAAGAGAGTAAGGGTACTCCTCGTGAGCGACATGTTGGGGATGGAAGCGCTTCGGACACTGACAGCAGTGCCCTCTCCGGACGGGAAAAGGACAGACCAACTGGCCCTGATCGAAAAACGTCATTGACAGAGAAGAGACCTACGGCCAATGCGACAACAGATAATAAGAACGGCCTACCGGTGGCATTACAGCGCTTTCAAATGCTTCCTGACGGCGCTCACGAGCATCACCTCCGTAGTGCAAAGAGACAAGAAAAACTCTCGGACATGCTCAGAGATCTTATCGGGGGCAAGAAGAAGGACGATCACGGGGAACACGATCGGCTCAGTCTCATGTCGAGTTGGGTAGACCAACTCAAAATGGACAAGGATAAGTTAGCAAGTGATAGGAAGGGCGGTCCGAACTCCACAGCAACCCTTGTCGAGAAATATGGAAAGTGCCAGGAAGTCATCGGACGTGGAGCTTTCGGAATAGTTCGCATATCACATAAACCGGATCCCAAGAACGGTCACCCGGAACAGCTATACGCCGTCAAAGAATTCCGTCGCCGACCCCAGGAGTCGCCCAGAAAATATCACAAACGATTGACCTCCGAGTTTTGCATCTCATCGTCATTACGACACCAGAACGTCATACACACTTTGGATCTATTGCAGGACGCGAAGGGAGATTATTGCGAGGTCATGGAATTTTGCGCTGGAGGGGATCTCTACACCTTGGTTCTCACGGCTGGCAAACTCGACGTTGCGGAGGCGGACTGTTATTTCAAACAGCTGATGCGCGGTGTGGAGTACATGCATCAGATGGGAGTTGCTCATCGGGACCTTAAACCAGAAAATCTCTTGCTCACCACAAACGGAGCGCTAAAGATTACCGATTTTGGTAATGGTGAGTGCTTTCGGATGGCGTGGGAAAAAGAGGCCCACATGACTTGTGGTTTGTGCGGCTCTGCACCCTACATCGCCCCCGAAGAATATACAGACAAAGAATTCGATCCTCGCGCAGTTGATGTTTGGGCCACAGGTGTTATTTACATGGCCATGCGCACCGGAAGGCACCTCTGGCGAGTTGCAAAGAAGGATGAGGATGAATTCTTCGAAAAATACCTAGAAGGGAGAAAAGATGAGGGCGGTTATGCACCTATAGAAAACCTGCACAGGGTGAGCCGAGAAGGGTTACATATTTGATTCCCCACTCTCCTTCTTCGGCAACCAGATACTGACTCATGTCTCCCTCTCCTACAACTTAGGCGAGATGTCGCAACGTGATCTACTCAATCCTAGATCCTAATCCAACAAGAAGGATCACGGCGTCTCAGGTGCTAAAGTCAGAGTGGGGCAGGGAGATTACAGTGTGTAAAGTGGGTGAGGAAGGTGCGTTGCGTCAACAAATAGCCCTTGAAGTGACGCTCCAATGAGTCTAAGTTATTCTCTTTGTCCACTCCTAGGGCTTTAATGACGGCGATAACGGTGCTCATGGCTCGATTCACTCAATCAACCGAATATTGTTTCGAAACAAAGCAAAAAAAAAAACATGGCGAAAAGCCCCCCTTTAATTCAAATTCTTCAATGCGACATTGCTGCCTAAATCCATTACATTCTTCGACTGTATCATTTATTGTCTTGGCCATAGCTTGGGGGGTCTTTTTGTAACCGCCGCTTTTGTGTCAACCTTTCCTTCTCTTCTTTCTGTCATTTGCAAAACAATCTTCCCTTACGTGATAATTGCTTTCCGGGGGAGAAGACAAAAAAAAAACAAGACCGGGGGGGGCAAAATCGCCCTAGTTTCATGCCCTCCCTTTCTCTCGGACTGATGTTGATTTGGTTCCTTTCCCCTTCTAATTTTCTTCCTACCTCTTCCCCCAACTCTTTCCACTCACACTTACGTTCTTCCCTCCTATCCCCCTGACCCTGATATAAAGCAATTCGGTGTCAGATGAAAAAACAACAATGCATTTATACAACTTGTGTAGGAGCTTTTTATTATTATCACTATCGTTTCCCTTTCTTTCTCTCTCTTCTCTCGTTTTATTTAGTACTAAGAAACGGCGTTCTGAAAGGGAGGTGGTTCAGCAAGTATTGGAATGTTTTTTTGTTCTCTTTCCTTTCCTTTCCTTTCCTCTCCTCTCATTTCTGCGTAGCTTCCCTCTTAACCCCTAGCTTTTTTTACCATCCCTTTTCTCTTGCTTGTGAGCTGCGTTGTACCTTGCTTACCGGCACTTTACTCGTTTTTGATTTGTGTATGTGTATTTATTGCTCTTGGTTCAGGTCTTCCGCGCAACAAATTCAAAATTACGAATTTTCTTGGTTATCTGCGGTGCGGAGAGAGTGCTCAGGTTAGTGTGTCGGAGGGGGGGGGGGGGCAAAGTACAAGTATATGCTGACCCGAGCTCATGGGCCCCTTATACTTTTGCGCTGCAGATGTAGACTAATGTGCACGAGTCCGCTATCACTCATCCTCCCAGCCATTATGATAGCATCACCCATCCAAGCCAACGCTGGCACAATCAGGCCTTCGAGGCAAACATCTGCAAATCCCAAGAACAGTGGCAAGAGCCGTTGACCCAACCAACTCACCAAAACCAACCCAAGATCACGCGGATAATCATGCGGATAACACTGACTTGAACTCCCCTCCCCCACCTCTCCTCCGCCACCCGGACACAATTCAGCTCCCTTCCCCCCGGCATCCCAAACACATTATGCCCCAAGAGTGCCCATGAGCCATGACTTCAAGTGTCGTAAGCCATTTCTCTCTCTTTCGGAAAAACCCCCTTATCTGGTAGGGTAGGGCACACTGCAATATCGGAAAGGATCTCGAGCGCAGAGCCGCACCAGCGCAGTATTACATAACATTCTGTTCCGTTCCGTTGCCCATTACCGTATGTATTATGTAGCGTGTCGTACCGTACTGTACGTATGATACGGTACCCCGCCGTACCGCAACCGCTGCGTGGTAAGCACGACAAATCGGAATGGGCTCGGGGGGTGTCTTTTTTTTCTTCTTCTTTCGGGAGTGGAAATCTCTGATGATTATTTTGGTGAAGAAAGAAAGAAGGAAAGATTGGTTATTGTCTATGATGTAATAACTTTTTTTTTTTTAACTTTTTTCGCCTTACTAGAATTGTACTTGCAGTTTGGGGGTATCGGTATGATACTCGTATGATAGATGAGTGATTGAACGGTAACAACAACAATAATAATAATAATAATAATAATAATAATAAACAGTATTATAATACTTTAGAAAACGGTATACCGGTAGCACAGCACAGCACAGTAACGGTACTGTTACTATACCATACCGGTAACTGTAAAGCACGGTGCTGTACAAGTACGAGTACCGTATGATACCGTAAACAATTACCGTGCCGGTACAGTACACAGACGGCTGACGGGCGGGACAAGGCGAGAAACTGACAGATTGACCCGAGACGATAAGGTTTCTTTTACAAGCACTATGAATGCGCAAGTCCCGTTGGTCGGTTGGTCGGTTGGGGAGAAAGTTTAACTGCAACCAACCAACTACCGGTAAGAAGTACCGTACAGTTGCCGTACCCGTCCGGTAACTTTAAGATCGGTAACAACTGCCAAGGCCCGTGCTTCCGATCTCGCTACGTAAGGATACTGTAGATAAATAGATGATTTTACTCGTATCATACGGTAGATTGGTTATGGTACTCTACGCTAACTTGACTTTTTTTTTCTTTGAAAACCTACACTCGAATCATTGACAGCGAAGCCCCCCGCCCCCCTCTTCCCTCTCCCCTCTCCCGAAGAAGGCTCGTTCTCACTTTACCCTAGATCATGGAAACGTGGGAGGGAGAACTTTCGCGCGGTGACCACCCTGCTTCATGCGTGCTGTTACTATGAGGAAGAATCAGAAGAAAGTTTACACGAGTCCACTTGTCCCCCGCGCCCCCAAGGGGGGATAGGGTGGGTGTGCGCATTCGCATCTCAGTGTAGCGCTCAATGCGAAGTAAAGCGACGGGAAGTGCGCTGACTTTGCTTCGACTCATGTCGCCATGTGAGGGAGGGTTGGGGTCGCTTGATTTTAAAAATCCTTTCCCCTTTCCCTTCTTATGCTGGCCTGGGGTAGAGAAGGAAAGCCGCCACTGCGGGAACCACCCATCACCGCACTCCCCGCATTCACCGACGGGAGAGCATGTCCGCATACCGATTCCCCCTGGCCAAGGACATGCAATACGATTACACTGCCGAACCAATCAACCAACGAATTCGTGAGGGACATAAATAGTCTGATTAATGATACAAGGTAATAAGTTAATTATGAGCCTCGAATAACACCCCGGCTCCCGTATCCACACACCTCTGCGAGCTTGTAGCTGCACCCAGCACCATAATCTAGAGGTTAAAATATATCCAAGCTCCAGTCAAGGGCATTGCTAGACCTGCCATACTCAAATGCAGATGGGTAACCAAAGAGAACAAAAGCCCAAACATGCATACGCAAATGAACCGCTACCACAACCCCCCCCCAATTTACCTATTTTCATAACCCCCCAAACAAAGAGACCAGCCACGGGGAGCAAAAGGAAAAGAAAAAATATACAATTGCCCTACCACGGAATGCATACCCCAGCACCCATACGTAGCAAAGAGGAAGGAAAACAGGTAATATATACAAAGAATTCGAAAATTCAAAACCAGATTACAATGCATATGCTGAGGAAACGTGGTGTATTTTTGGGCAACGAAATCCATTTATGAACGACTGCAGGTTGATTGGCGGATATTGTCGGTAGAGTTGACACGAGGGTCCTCTTCTTCCGTCTCGGAGGTTCCTCCCAGGCTCTCAATATCCCTGCGCACTTCGGTGTGCGTCAGGATTCCATCAAGAGGAATTGATTTATCGTGACGGCACGCTCCCTTTGGCACCGCATGTATGCTTGTAATGACTTCGCCACCGCCCCCCCCAGCAACCCGGCTTTTGTGGTCTTTGCTGAGGCCGCCGAAATTAGACCCACGACTAATGGAATACGGGTCACCTCTGCATCCAATTGTGCGGTCGCACTCTCCGCAGCGAGTCCTCCCATCGGTGGAGATATCGTCATCCTGGTGGGTAACCCAGTGCAGGACAAGAACAGAAAACAAAACTGCGACCCAGTGTTTAGTCGTGTCGGACACGCCAAGATACCAAAATCAAACCGGAATGAAATTATAACATACTGTCGGAATTGCAGACCGCAAAACAGATCCACCCAGCCTCTTTTCCGCTCAGAATAATGAGAGAAATCAAGTTGCTTCACCACCAATCAGCACTCTCCCGGGAGGGGGGGACATGAACCCACGCCATCTTCCAGAATTAACATACCCAAGAGTAGAGACCAAGGTTGCACAACTTCCAATAAAAGTGCGGAGGGCGACGCGATGGAGACGGCTTTTCTTGGCCTTGGCCCCATTGCGAAAGGTCCAGAGACCTAATCCAAACCATTAGCAAACCAGTACCGGACTCCGCAGGGCGCTCGGCTCACCAGAAAGAGGCTTCAGGAACAAGAAGGTTAAGTAGACCTGAATTTGACCCCGTTAGCGGGAAGGTATGCGATACTTCAGGCGATGGCCGCATACATTAATTGTGAAATCAAAAACCAGCAGCGGAATGTTGGCGGGGAGCTTCAATCCGATCTTGCACTCCCCGTTCACCAACTGGGCGTTGCGACTACAGGGAAAAAGTGTTAGAGGGCGCATCGGGGGGAAGGGTGGAGAGAGAAACGCACTAAACGAAAGTTAAGGTGATGACTACGGCGTACGGCAAAAGCATGCCGAAAGTATTAAACAGGAAGAGCTTGTCCTTGAACCGCGAAGAGCGGTTACCACGTACAATGAAAACCTAGAAGGCCACCCATCAGTAATTGTCACATGTTCAATGCAGGGCAAAACGAGGACTACTGTATCATACCTTCTCGACAAGAAAAAAGTACATCAAAACCTTGGAGCTCAGATAGCAAACCAGGCAGAGCAATATTCCCGCGTCACACGCCCTAAGACTGCTGTTGAGGCCGAAACTCGCCTGCAAAATTGTACTCGAAAGCACAAACATCCAACTGTCGAGAAAAACGGCGAGAATCACTAGAAGAGCGACAAGTCCGCATTTAGCGACTAATAAAAAGGGTAACAAAAAGAAACACCAGCAAAAACGGCGAACTTACACCAGCGCGCCAGTGGCAACGATGTCAAGTCACGGACTCCTACAAGTCGCCGTGCCAAACAGAAGCTGACGACGGTAATAGCAATCATGGCAAGAGATATACTGGACACAAAGGAACCCTCCGACTGCTTCCTCTGAGCACTGGGACTATCCTCAGCCGCATCCCTCCTCACGACCGAGGCCATCACGGGGTAGATGGCATCCATTGCTACTGCTCACTCGATGGCTGAAGGTTGCACTGGAGCAATGGTTGGGATGGGTTGATCAACGAGCCCCCAGAGTTGAGCAGGCGACGGGATGGAGGAAGGGAAGGTGGGAGGGGGTAGGTAGGTGGGAGGTGTCGGACGAATTGTTTGTGTTAAGTATGCAGCAGCAGGGAGAAATGTAGGAAAGGGCAAACAGAAGGGAGGGTGCAGAGAGGCTTATAGGTAAAAGGGCAAGAGGGAGAGGAGAGAGAGGGCGTGTGGGACACAAGGGCTAGCTCCCGCAGGAGAGGGAGGGAAAAGCAAGGAGAGGAAGGGAGAAAAAGAAAAGGAAAAGGAAAAGGGAAGGGGGAAAAAGAAAGGAGGAGGAAAAGGAAAAGTCTGCAGGAGGAGGAGGAGAAGAAGAAGAAGAAGAAGAGGAAGGAGGAGGAGGGGAGGGGAAGGACGCGATTGGCAATTATCGATTGGCGAAGCACGGCAGATCTTATGAGAGTTGGGGATTCCTGTCCTCTCCGCCTTCCTCTTCCTACGAGTTTGATGCCGGGCAGTTAACTAATATGCAAAGTGGTGTACCGTACGCCACTAGTACAGTACAGTACTCGTACTGCACTCGAGTAGGGGTATTACTGTGTCCATTCCCCGTACGGACGGGCACGAGTACTCGAGTACAGTAATGAGGTGCCCGAGTGCTCACTAACCCTAGCACGGCGGAGTACTCGTACGGTACAGGCGGTATGGTAGTGTGGCGAGCATACGGCACGGCGGGAAGGGTCATGGATGAACGAGCCGGTTCACCGCAGGCAGCAAAGAGGCCAAACGCCCATTCGAAATAATAATAACCACAATAATAATCATGCCGTATCCTTATTATTCTTATTATTATTGAATAAACAAACCTGCCTTCCCCAAAGGGTTGTCGGTGTTGTACTTGTAATTACCCGTATTTCCCTCCCGATTCCCCTCGTGCACTGGCCTGGAGCTGCTCAGTGTACTGCAATCTTGTCTCTCTCCTCCTCCTCTTCCTCCTCCTGTTCCTGTCTCTGAAAGGCGGACTTGCCGCAATATCGGCACCGATATGATATTATTACGATGACACCTACCCAACCATTCACGAGCGGGTGGAGAGTGCCAAAAACAAAAAACAAAAATGAAGTTATGAACGAAGCCATTATCTTGTGGACAAAACAGATCCAACTCAGCCAACAGCCCCATCTGCACTCTGTCCTGCAGCAAAGCAACAATTTATCATCAACTTTCCTTTCTTTTCCCACTTTCTTTTTTTACCCTCGCATCTTTTCCCCTTGCTCTTTTGCCCCCCTCCTTCCTCCCCAACCATATCTGAAATCTCTCCCATCCGTACGCCCAAGGAAGAGGCAGAGGGGTGGGGAAAAAAAAAAGGAAAAAGAAAAAAGAATGGGGAAGCATCCAAATCACGCTGAAACTCCATCCATCCCCTCCAACTATTTTGTCTGGAGCAGAGCTCGCTCGAACTGCATCACCGATTGGCAGATAGGGCGCAGCAGATACGGGGCGGGCAACCAAAGATGTCATTGTTGCACCTGCTGAGATGATCAGGGAGGACTACTGGTCACTGGTGTGTTGTTTGCGGGTGCGAACTCCGCACACATTTCGAATATCACACAAGTCACGGCCCAAGTAGGACTCGGGAGCGCAGGTAGGGACAGATTTTATCTCGAGCGGCACCGGGATGCAAGGAATTGCTATGATACTTGTACTCGTACATGCATAATACGGTAATGGCACTTGTGCACAATACCAGGTTTTCTTTTTCTTCTTCTCGAGTCCAACGGACCCAGCAAGTCCCAGAGAGATAGGGTACCGGCACGGCACTCGAGCACTATCATATCATCCCGGTTACTGGAGTAGAGCCCTCCGTTTAGTGCGGGGGGGGGGGCCCTGGGAATTGTTGTCGGGATTTGGTATGACAAAGGGTATGAAGGTATGAGGATTCCCAGGGGGCTCGTCCATGAAGGGTTGGGGGGAGCTGCCGTACCGCAGCCCGTAGGGTACTCGAGTACGAGTACATGGGGGGGTGGAGGAAAGCTTTTCGCAGGAGCCCGTATTTCATCATAGGCCCCATCGTCTATGCAAAAGCAGTTTTTTGCATTAGGAACGAACTGCTTGCACAGTCCCGGTAATCGAGTACTTGTGTGTGCACCCTCGTTTGCCGAAGAGTGCGAGACGGTATAGTAAGAGTGCTCGTACCCTACAATACTGCACAAGTACTTGTACCCGCCATCCCGCAAATGTCGATGTTTGACGCCGCATTATACAATACCGACACCGGACTCGACTACTGTACTAGTACTCGAGAGCCTACGAGTACGGTATCATACCGCTATTCTCTATTCTCTCTAGCTTTCCCTCATTCCTCGCTCGCTTGTTCGCTCGTTTGCTCGCTTGTTCGCCTCCTCTCTCCCACTCACTGTGCTGTGTTCACTTTTTCCTTCCCGCTCTCCCCCTCCCCCCACACTCAGCCCTTCTCTGCTTGTACAATACTCTACTCGTACAGTATGATACCACAGTACTGTACTCCCCCACCCGATAGCACGAGCATCACAATACCTACTCCTTTACTCCCCTTGCCGATTTTTATTCTTTATTCCCTTCACTTCCCTTCCCTCCACTTCCCTTCCCTTCCCTTCCCTTCCCTGCCTACCCTTTCATCCACCCCACCCGAAGCTGCCTCCCCAGGTTTTCAGCTCTAATGTGTAGACTACCTACCATACTCGAGCATGCACTCCACCGTCCGAGGCTGTCCGAGAGGCACCAGACACCTGCCCGCCGATCAGGTCCCCTTTCAGCCGGTTGGACTTGGCGAGCTAATCTTCCCATCGTTACACCCGTAGAACTGGGATCCTCTTCTCCCTGCCGCGATTAGGAAATCTATATCTGCGTATTGTGAGAATACCCCCACGGTGGTCTGCTCCTTCGGAAACAGCCTGGCTGGGACATCACAAATTGTCCGGTTTGACAGCATCTCTGCTGCATCACAGCATTTACTCTATCTCTCCCACCCAACCCATAAACACCGATTATTTCGATCTCTGGCGCCATGCCAAACACTCGGCCCAATCACAAATCAGCATCACCCTCCTCCTCCTCCTGCTCAGGAATGATCCGAGGATCCGTGATGGGTTGTTTTTTCTTTTTTTCACAACTTTCCTTTTTCCCCCCCCCCCTTCCTCCCTCTCTCGCTTGAGTGGCTTGCGCAAGGGCCAGCAAGACCAAGAATCCCTTCCCGCCCTTGATACGGTAGCAAACCAGCCCCCCTCGTCATGCGAGCACCATGATTGACTACCTGGTACTGTACGAGTACTTGAGTACGGCAGCGTATCGTATAATACTTGTAATTATGCTCTACTCGTAGTCCCCCCAAATCGGGAGATAACAATACAATCCCCTTTTAGGCAGTGAGACCTGCGCACACTTTTTGGATTGGATCGGTTTCTTTTACCACCAAAAACGCCCCTCCCCCAGCTGCAGTGCCGATGCCGGATTTCCCAGGAAACGATAGTCTATTGACCAGACCTAGGCTGTCACGATGCATGACATTAGGTTGCGAGTTATTATTTTCAGGCCCATAAAACTGTATCTAAATATGGCCTCCATTCCTCTTTATCGCCGCACTTGAATCGGCGACCTGTCAGCTACCATTTAAGCTTATCACTCGCCAGCACCGACGATCTTTGCCTTTTCTTCTCACCGACCGATTTGTCGATTGATAGCTTAGATGACCAGTCGACCGAACCGCAACCTCTCCCTCTCTCTCCCTCTCTCTCCCTCTCTCTCCCTCTCTCTCCCTTTCTCTCCCTCTCCCTCATCGACTGTCAACCATGGGGCTTCCCTGACGGAGCAGAGTTATGACAGTTATCAGTTAGGTCTCAGTACGGTAAGATTAAAGGCTCCTCCACCCCAGCGGGGAGCGACGGCTATTGCCAGCCCTCAAAGTATGAGACTGTACCGGTAGATCCGAAAAAAAGGCGGCGATGCTCTCTGGTCGCTTGAGGCGCGCAATCGGATGTCAGAGGCTAGAGCAGCCGGCTTTCTCTTACTTGTACCCTTTACCAACAAGCGGGAGACCTAAGGCCTCCCGATCAAGCTATCAATACCAAGATAACCAACGCAGAAAAAAAAGAGTTCCGGTACCGGTACCGCATCTCATATGACTACGGTGAGAGAAGCAAAAAAGGGCTGATGTGTGTCCACTGCAGCCACTGTACCCGAGTACCGTACCGCACGAGTACGAGTACAATCCAACCATGGGTTGCGACACTGCGCTCTGCTATTCCACTCCGCTCCCGCCTACCAATACTGCTACTGGCAATAGCCCTTTACTCGAGTAGAGAACTCCCATGGCACTATGATGGCGTGGAGATAATGATGTGTGGTCTGGACCCATGGCTCCCGATCTTGATCAGCCCCAGATCCCGTGTCCAATAGACAAGAAGAAATCTAGATCCCGGGAGTCTGCTCTGGCGCCCACATTCTTTCCCCACGAGTAGAATTTACAGAAAGGTCAAGATGAAGAGGGGGGGGGGAAACAAGGGTTGCCCCCAGGAAAGGTTCTCTGAACCGGGGAGCCTCGGGTACGAGTGCTGCGGTACCGGTACTAGCCTATTTCGAAGTTCCAGGGTGGATCACGAATTCATGGTATTGTACTCGAGTACCTTATCGTACTCGAGTACTTGTACGAAAACATCTCCCCTGGCACTGTACGAGTATAGTGCCCACAAGAGAGGTGCCATAACTTTGTCCTACCGGTGATAAGAGCTGCTGGATTCGGTAAAGCAGGAACCAAAGAACCAAAACATATTGAGATCGTAGTCAACCGTTACTTGTACAAGGCATAGGGATAAAGTATCCGAACAGTTAATTTAGGTTAACCCGCAAAATAAACCCTGTCCCGTACGAAAACTTTATCCCTGGCACTTGTACCAAGTTGATTAGTGCTTTTCCCTCCCACCTTTCTCATCACTCATTCATGACCCCTTGCGCCACTATCCTGAAATGGTGCGCCATGACTCGCAAATTTGTGTGTGGTTCATAGAGGCTTGGTGGTACTTGTACCGTTTCCGGATAATGTCGAAAACGGCTGGTACAAGAACTACCGTATACGGGCATAGTAGCAGGGTGCTGGTACAAGTGACAGGGGGAGATGTTTTCGTACAAGACAGGTTAATACCATAATATTCGTAGCAACAACTAACTACAAGTCATATCCCAATCCTAGTGCTGTACAAGTGCCAGGGGAGATGTTTTCGTACAAGACAGGGATTATTCTGCGGGTTAACCTAAATTAACTGTGCGAAAACATTATCCCTGGCACTTGTAACCAACTTACGGCAGGGATTATTTTGCGGGTTAACCTA